TGTTGGGATAGCGCGGATTCTCCTCTTGACTATAATCAATTAAAGGTAAAATTATAAATATGGCACTAACAAATATTTTCAAGAAAATGGTCAATGCCTATGGCAAGGATCAGGATCCTGTTGTACTTGAAAGAACACATTTCCGTCCCAACTGGCGCAAGGGGGAAGTCTCAACACGCTCGCAGAAACGGTATAATTAAGTTTCTGCTCGGAAATAAATTATATTTTTAGTCGCTACGCGCCAATTTACGACAAAGGAATTATTGATGATAAGCTCGATTGTTACCCTTTTGGATATAGAGGAACACCCATTTCTAATCTTAATGAATAAAATTTTAATAATTAATTATTTATTAAATTTACGTTTAATATCGTCTATATTTTTTACGATCTATTAATATTTTTACAAATTTTAAAATTTAGAGCAATGTTCAGTGATCCGGATATGGGTATGCTTATTTTTTCTATTCAATTTAATTTTTAATTTTAGAAAATCTTTCTGGCCAGTTTACGAAATTGAATGTAAATCAAGAACCGCTGTGTTATAATTCACATCCACCAACAGAGATAATTGGAAAAGAGGGACAGAAGATATTTATTTTTCAGTCGTCCCGTCTATGTGGATTCAGTAACAGATTCCCATCACGATTCTCGGTGCTTGGAATAAATTTTACAACAATGGAGAAATATTTCACATGGCAAAAAGCTCGTTATTTCGCAGATTTTGAAATTGCGGAACATATTCTTCAACTACAAAATCCTGATCAAATATACCGCATTGGGCTTCGTATTCGTGGATTTAAAAGTGATGAATGGAATAAAGTGCGGGATAAGGTATTTTTAATAGAAATGCCAAAATAATAAAATTCCTAGATCATGTACATGGGACTTTGGGCAAAATTCACTCAAAATGTGCAACTCTTTACGCAACTTCGTGAAACAGGCAATGCATTGATAGCTGAAGCGACTCAGGTCAATAAATATTGGACAGCTGGTATTTGGTCTTCGGATCTTCATCGCTTAAGTGATCCAAGTTCATGGGATGGCGACAACAAATTAGGAATTTTGTTGATGGAACTTCGAAAAGAAATAAACGAATGTATATTTTAATTTTTCATAAAAATTGAAATTGTTTCAATAATTTGAGGATAAACTTTTGAAATAAATTCTTCGTTTCTTGCCCCCGTTATTATACATTTTCCCGAATTGAAGAGCAAAACAACAATTCTAGAATCTCTTATCCTTAGACACATTCCAGGAAATATTTCTTGATTAAATGAAATGTGTTTTTCAAACAATTCAAAAGGCACAATCCTCATAGTGTCATAGAGTGCTTAAGATAGTGTTTTAATTAAAAAATTTTAAGTATTACCTGGGAGGTTCAGTGTTTTAGGAAACTTAAATGAAGCAACAACGTTTTGAATCTTAAATTTATCGATTGCGATTGTTGTCTCCTTTAGCGCATTAGCTATTTGTTGGACAAATATTATTGTAGCCTCCTTTGCCATCGAAGAAGATTTCGTCCCGACACAAACAAGTCTTCCATTTGAAAATAATAATGCTGTAGCACGAATAGGCTCAAAATTTTTAATAATTAGGGCTGAAAACTTCTTTGGGTTGTAATTGGAGTTTTTAATGTTTTTTGAAATAACTTCAAGATCAAGAATCTCTTTTAGTAGCGTGACTGTTGAAACTACGTTCTGAACTTGTGGTTTATCCATAGCAAAAAGTCCTTAATAAGTGTCTTAGTAGTACAGTCTAAGCATAACCCACTAAACCACGTTTTAAGGACATAAAAAGTTCTTAATATATGCCTATATGGTCTTATCCTATATTTTCCAAAGCTAATTTCTTCACATCCATAACTAGCTACCATTACAGGTATTTTAGTTTTGGATGTAATGAGATTAGCATTAGAGAACATAGCATAATACCACTTAACCATACATCAAGAACTGTTGTATTAATATAAATAGACCTTACAAATATATTAAAAGTATATAATAATGTTTCAATCGCCTTTTACAATGATTATTTCAGGAGCTACGGGTAGTGGGAAAACTCAATGGCTTCTTAAATTTCTTAAAAACTGCCAGGTGCTTGTTGATCCTCCTCCAAAACACATATTATACTGTTTTGGAGAAATTAATGAGACCATCTTTAAACTTAAACAAATGGGAATTACGACTTATAATGGAGTGCCAGACCCTGAACTAATTAAACAACATCAACTTCTTGTACTCGACGACCTTATGTTAAATATTAGGAATGATTTTCTTGATCTCCTTTTTACAAAGGGCTCTCATAATTGGAATGTGAGTATTATTTTTGTTACACAGTCTCTCTATGGACGGAATATTAAAACTGCTAGAGCCAATGCGCATTACATACTCTTGACAAAAAATCCACAGGGATTATTGCAAGTAAGAACAATGGGGGCGCAGCTATTTCCAAAAAAGTTAGATTATTTCCTAGAGGCTTATCGTGATGCAACTTCAGAAAGATTCTCGTACCTTTTGATAAATATGCATCCCAATGCTGATGAGCACCTCCGGCTTTCTACGAATATATTCCCAGGTGAAAAACAGTGTATATATTTACCCTTATAATATATTATAATAACAATGACGCTCAATTATAGCCCATATATTCGCGAAAATTACCAATTTCTTCAACAATTAGCCAAGACTAGTTCGGATAAAAAGAAAAATTCTATAATACTAACAGCTAGTGCTGATCAAATTTTATCCATCGTTGAAATTTGCGCCAACGTACTAAAACATAATTTTATACTAAATAGGAGGCAAAGGCAGAAGCTAGCCAAGTTTGCAAATTTTTATCGCAAAATTTCTAGAACAAGAACAGAAAAAAGCGCTCGAAAACGTTTACAAGAGGGAGGCAGCGCAGCACTCGCAGCAATACTCATACCTATACTAGGTGCCTTAGCCGAACATATCATACATAAAATTACGGAATGAAGCACACAAAGAAAATGATAATGATACCGGAGATTGAATATCTTACACTACTTAACATGATAAAAGGTAAATCTGATTTTATGCACACTGAGAAAGCACAAACTGACGCTATGATAAAGGATACTCTCGAAGATCCAAAGATAAATGAAGAAACGCGTGCTAAAAAATATAATTTATTGTATAATCAAAGACGCCAATTAAAACAAAAGATAGAAAACCGTCCTCACAAAGTAATAATTCAAGATAATGCTGTACCTGATTTAGTTCCATATCTTGAGAGTAGTAAACCAATAAGACCTATTGATGATTTTAAGAAGGAAGAATTAAATACGCCTGTGAATAAAAGAACATATTCAAGAAGAGTATCACCTTTTAAAGGAATTATTTCAAAAAGGTTCGCTGACAATCTGGAAGAATACATAGGCCAAAACAGAGAAAAATTTTTAATTCACGATGATGGGACTTTTGACACAAATGTTCGCGGTAGAAGTATTAAGGAAAGTAACTTTAGTCATGTCATTGAATATATTACAGGTGAAAGACCGACTATATCTAAAGGATTCAGTTTCCTTTTTGGAAGAATTGCTAAAGATCCGCTAGTTAAGGAGATGATTCGTGCATCACGTGAGGAAGAAACAGCATCAGATGAGAGTAGCAGTAGCCAATCGGGAAGAGGAAAAAAGAGGAAAGTTGTGCTGGTAAGTATAAATTCTCCGAAAAAGAAATTTGTACCAAAAATATGGGAAAAACTCTAGAAAAACATTTGAAACAAGTTTATTATTCGCTTAACTCGCCAGCCTCTTATGCAGGAATTCGTCGTGTTTATGAAGAGGCGCGTCTTAAGTTTCCCAAGCTAAAAATGAAGGAAGTGTATGATTTCATGCATAAACAACGTGTATATACTATGCACTACCCTGCAAGAAGACGTTTCTCACGACTCACTACAAGACCTAGCGGTCTTCATACAGATTGGCAGGGTGATTTAGCAATATTTGATAAGCTTGCTTCACAAAATGAAGGATATAAATATTTACTAGTTTGCATTGATGTATTGAGCAGAAAAATTTTTGTCGCTCCTGTTAAATCTAAACATGCTGAGAATATGATAGAAGCATTCGAAAAAAATATTTGCCGCAAATAAAGGCATTCTTCCACATAGACTTTATACAGATCGAGGCTTAGAGTTTCAAGCCAAGAAAATGCTAGATTATTTCGACTCTAAAGATATAGATAAGCGTGTTGTTTTTAGTCCTGATGTTCATGCTTCAATGGCCGAGCGTGCTAATCGAACAATAAAAGAAAGACTTTATCGTTATTTTAGCCAGAAAAATACCCTTCGTTGGGTAGACGTCGTTCAAAATATAGTAGATGGAATAAATGCAAGTGTAAATCGTGTAACAGGGGTAACTCCGAATTCTGTAAACTTTAAAAACGCTAGAAAACTTTTCGAGAGGCTATATAAGGAAACTTATAATCATACAGGAACAAAACAAAAACTTAACCCTGGACAAACTGTTAGAATCGCTAAAGAAAAAGGAAAATTTGAAAAAGGATATTTTGCCAATTACACCGACGAGCTTTTTCGTATTGTTACTGTTAACGATAGTCGCGTCCCTACTATATATCGCCTCGAAGATTTACGCGGAGAAAAAATTGAAGGAATATTCTATCTCGAGGAATTGGTCCCCACATCTCTAGATACCACGCACAGAATAGCTGAAATATTGAAAACACGTAAAACTCGCGAAGGATTAAAACATTTTGTCCGTTGGATAGGATATAACGATACACATAATAGTTGGATTAAAGATACCGATATTGTACAATAATGGATTCTTTTTATGTGGTTTTGCCATCAAACACTGAAGATGTTGACGGGAATACCACGTCAAAATTCACAGTTCGCATGCCTGATACTCTTGAACTAGATTCAACCTGGACAGTTGCTCTATCGAATATTATTTACCCATTTTCATTTGCTTTACTTGATGACTCAGAAACAAATGAATCAATAACAGTATTTAGAACATATAAGGATGAGGTTCGCTCAACACGCATTGAAATACCAGATTTATTCTTTTCTTCGGAAGCTGCATTGGAAGCAGCATTAAATTCATTTTTATTAGACGTTTGGGAAAAAGAACTTGAAAAAATACGCTTAGAAGAGGAAAATGAAGAAGCAAAGAGAAAAATCTATGGAGGTTTTTTTCGACGGAAAAGAGATGCTGATAATATGGAAGTTACAGAATATGGCTATCCTCCAGAATATCAGAAGAAACTTCTCGATTTAAACAAAACTCAATTATCTGATCCTCGATATCAATGGGTCTCAGTACATCACGACCTAACTCACAATCGATTTTGGTTTTGGTTTCAGGGTAATGTAAAATATATTCAATTAAGTAAACAGTTGGCATATACTCTTGGTTTTAATTCTCAAACAGTTTACTCTGGACAAGTTGCAAAGTATATGCCCGATATTTCGGGAGGAGTCCGCCAATTATTAGTGTATGCACCAAAATTAGTTGAGAATAGCATCATAGGAAACGTAACAGCTCCTCTTCTAAGAGTTGTAAACGTCAGTGGTAAACCTGGAGATAGCGTTTCGGAAGTATATATGACTGAACATCATCATCGTTTACAAGGTAAAAGACATCCTGATATAACTATAGAAATTAGAACTCTAACCGGAAAACTCGTAAAATTTCATTGGGGTAATTGTATAATAACATTACATTTTCAACGGTCGCTATTTTGAATGACTCACGTAGCTGTTGATTTGGATAGTATTGACTGGGAACCCTTCCTAAATGCCCAAGAAGGAGGAGGGCTGGAAATCAAGGACAGTAGTCCTTACTTTCAAGGTACGCGATACCAACGAGGCTTTGGATTGTTTGGTTCCGTTGGACGTTTTCTATTGCCTATTGTCAAAAATCTAGCGACTACTGCTGGACAAGAAGCAGTAGCTGCGGGAAGAAACGTACTCGAAGATGTTGCACAAGGTAGATCTATTAAGGAAGCACTGCAACAACACGGTAGTGAAGGTTTACAAAAGGTAGGCAAAAAGCTGCAGCAATGCGGGAAAGGCAAGAAAACAACCAAAAAACGTCGTTACAAAGACCAATTAAGTAGTAGTATATAAGTGTGTTAACTAGAATTTTATCGCAACAATGACTACAATAAAGAAAATAGATAAGGACAGTGCAGAAGGAGTTGATAATAGAATTACATTCTTTTCTGTTCCTGCTACAAATGTAGGAATTCAGCGTTCAGCATACAAGGAATTACTTCCTCTTAATGCTCTCAATCAGTCTGCTGGACCTTTTATTTTTCGTTACTTTGGTGACTCTCTCTATCTTGATTTAAGCAAGACTTATTTCCACTTGAATTTATCACTTGAAAGAAAAATCGACGAAACTGGTGAGTGGGTTCCAATTACAGACGGTTACGGCGATTTCAAGGGGGATCGGTTTATTAGCGTTGCTCAATATCTAGGACTTACATGGATTCGTCGTCTGACTCTTTCTATTAACGGTACTCAATGTTTTGACTCAGGCATCCACTATGCCTACAGATGTATAATTCTTCATGAACTTGGTGCGGATCGTGAAGTAAGTAAGGGTCTGTATGAGGCTTCACTTTATTACAAAGATGCGTTAGATAAAGATGATTTTGAAGGCGCAGGATTTAAATCTCGTCTTTCACGTTTTTCTAAAGGTAAGGTCTGTCGAATGATTTCTCATTTAGATTATGATTTCGCGCGGCAGAATCAGCTATTAGTTCCACACAGCGACGTTATATGGACCATCTATAGAAATTCTGACGAGTTTCTTATTCACGCTCCCAAGTATAGAATAATACCACCGAATGCGGCAGGTGCAGAATTTGTAAATAACACTCATACTTACCGTTTACGGCTTCATGATATGAGAATTTATGTGAAGCAAGTTGACTTAAGTATGTCACTGAATAATGCAATTGCTAGACATTTGGAACAAACTCCCGCGAAATATGCTTATAAAAAGATTGAAATTCGCAGTGTTTTTCTTGGAAAAGGACGCCAGGAAATTATTCACGCTTCATTTACCAGTACATGTCCAAGACGTTTGATAATTTGTTTCGTAAATTCTTCTGCATTTACTGGTGTCCCTTCTCTTTCTCCCTTCACTTTTGAAAATGCTAATGTTCGTTCAGTTTCAGCAGAATTTGGAGGCTTCCAGTTCCCTTCCATTCCTTATGATCTAGACTTTGCCAATAATAATTTTGTGCGCGCCTACGTTGATATGTATTCAGGTATGGATCTCGATGCGTGGCCAAACTCTGAACAAAGAACTCTTAGTATCGGGATGAAAGAATTTTCAAAATCTTCATGCTTTTTTGTTATACCTATGACTTCCACCCTTGAGGATACAAACGGTTTAGAACTCATAAGACAAGGCACAACGACTGTTAGGTGTTTTTTCAACGAGCCTGTAAAAGAGGAGGGATATGAAATGATTATCATGGGTGAGTTTGACTCAATTCTGTCCATAAATGCTGATCGTGTTTTAAGCACTGATGGATCAGTATGAATTCGTTACAAATTCAAACTATTATGCAGAAATATGAACCGTTAAAACATAAATTTATTGGTGTTTTTTCTTCAAATAATATACCTCCCTCTGTTAGAAAAAAGAATTTTTGTTTTATTGCAAATACAATGCGTAAAGGGACTAGAGGAGAACATTGGATTGCCTGTTATTCTGACAAAGCAGATACTATAGAATACTTTGATTCGTTCGCTGAAGAACCTAATTGTGAGATGCGCCGATCCTTACTTTCAAACTATTCAAATGTTAAGCAAAATCGTTTTGTTTTACAATCACCTTTCTCTGACACATGCGGTCACTATTGTATCTGCTTTTTAGTATTGCGTTCACTTTATGGAACGTTTTCCGAAGTCCTACAGAAATTACACTCTATACCCCCTGAAGGACGTGATATCGCTCTAAGAAATTTTGTTCAAAAATTAGCGCTTGGTATATAAGAGACCGGTACCATTACGTATTTTTATCTGATATTCTATTCTATGATGGTTATTTCCGAATTAATTCTTCCTTTCCCCCGTAATCCTTATGAAAATAATACAATCTTTATAGATAGCGAAATCATTATGCCTCCTCAACAAAATTTTATATTAGGGTTTGCTTATATCTTATACATACTATTTATTTTTCTTTTACTATTCTTCTATCAGGCTCGAAATGGCTTCTTTAATCGCACTAATATAAATGAAGCTGTTCGTCTTTCAAGGGTATAAAAGGCGAAAATTTTACTAACCCAATATCAACATGCGAACCTCGTGTATAACCTCAACTTCTGCTTTTACTCAATGGAGGGAAAAACGTAACGATGTCGATTCCAAGCCGTCCACGCCTTGCCTTAAAAAAACATCCCTTGTTAGTCTGCTGTGTCAATTCAATGGAGGATGCACTCCTGAAACTCTGCACTGTGCTATGCGTAAAAGAATGGAAGAAAATCTAAAATATATTCAACAACTATCTGGAATGACTGAAGAAGAGGTTATTTCAGCGGGAATTGGACAAAAACTATTGATGGATGGATACGCTCCAATGAAAAATAAAGGACTTGTAACAAACCATTTACATAAATTTCAGATGGAATTGTATCCTTGTAAGCTTACAAAATTGGGCGCTGATCATGTATTTGCTCTCAGAGGATATCTTCGCGTTACAATAAGGTAATTTTATTTTTCTTCTGTTATTAATATTCTTCATTTTTAGGCAATACTTCTATGTCCGTCATCGAATAAACCTTTATCTTCCACGTCTACCCGTCCTATGTGTTTTTGGAGGAAAGAATCACCAATATTTTTATCCACTTGAATGTATAGATGTTGTGACCAACGAAGAATAAATAAGCTTTAAATGTGCCTTTTAATATTTCTTTGCTAGTTTTTTATGTTTTTTTGCGATATTTAATTATTAGCTTTATTGTTTTCCTCATTTGTATTTTTGCTGCGTTCAGAATAAATTTTTAATAAACAATTATAGTTAGCATTTTTACTTTTTACTAATTTTTATCTTTGATTAAATTTTTACCCCTAGAATACTTATAATAGATATTAGAATATTAAAAAATAAAAAATGAATAAAATTAAAAAATAAATAAAAATTAAAAAATAAATAAAATTACATAAAAATTAAAATTAAATAATAAATACATAATAGATCCATTAATAATTTTGTCTTTTACTCGTGTATTTAATTACCTTCCTCCCATAACCCCTGCGCATGTATTCCATTAATGGAATTCCTCTCTTATCCATTGATCAAAATCGAAGGTAAATTTTTTAATTTTTTAAATTTATCAAGTGGTTTTCTAAGTAGAGGTTTTACGTAGTTTTTAAGTGGGTTTTTAATTGATTTTTAAGTGGGGGTTTTAAGTGAAATTTTTGAATTTTAATTTTTTTAATTATAAAATTTTTTAAAATTTTTAAGTGGTTTTTAATTGATTTTTTAAGTGGGGTTTTTAAGTGGTTTTTTAAGTGGGGGTTTTAAGTGAAATTTTTTAAAATTTTTTAATTATAAATTTTTAAGTGGTTTTTAATTGATTTTTTAAGTGGGGGTTTTTTATAAAATTTTAAATTTTTTAATTATAAATTTTTAAGTGGTTTTTAATTGATTTTTTAAGTGGGGTTTTTAAGTAAAATTTTTTAAAATTTTTTAATTATAAATTTTTAAGTGGTTTTTAATTGATTTTTTAAGTGGGGGTTTTTTATAAAATTTTAAAATTTTTAAATTTTTTAAAATTTTTTAAGTGGGGTTTTAATTGATTTTCTAAGTGGGGATTTTTTATAAAAGTTTTAAATTTTTAAAAATTTTTTAAAATTTTTTAAGTGGTTTTTTAATGGGGTTTTTACGTGGTTGTCAATTAATCACTTATAAACCCGTAAGTGATCCATTAATTTAAGTGGTTGTCAAAAACCCCCTTAACAACCCGTAAGTAATTAATGGTGGTATTTAAGCTATGCCGGAATCCTTTTTGTTCTTATTTTTTTATTTTTTGTTATAAAACCGGCTTTTATAAAAATTAATAATGTTATAAAAATGGGTTAGATACTACTAATATTTAACACATCCTTATTAGAGGAAGACGAATCCGCCTTTGCCATTTCCTGCTCATAATCCAATGCAACATAACAAAGCTTTTCTTTAATGCCTTGAACACTTTTTCGCTTGTAACTTGTAGCAAATGAATATCCACGGTCATTGAGAATCTAATTACATACCGTAAATACTCTAATTGAAGCAGTGGGCTTATATTTTTCAATGGGTCTCCACAGATGGGCTTATATTAGAGGTGGGCTTCAGTTAGAGTATTTACTGTATTTAAAAATTGTTTTTTCGAATATAAATATAGTAAGGTAATTTTTATTTGACTTAAAAAGTAACCCTCATTAAATAATCAGTCAAATCACAGCCAGCCAAGTCATGACGACGTGTAGCATGAGGAAAATTATAAGACTCGTAAACTGGTACAATATAGGTGACACCTTGAAAATTTAATCTTCAATTAAATATTTAACTTTTACCATGCCCCGAGTCAACAACAATGCCAGTAGTACGACCAGTTGAAAATAAAGGAATTTCCCCTTGATTTGCAACAAATCTATAAAATTTTATAGTTCATGACTTGTATTTTGAAATTATTTTATACATTGATGGTGTATTGAATGTCTCAAACATAATTTCAGTCATCTTATCCCGATTAACTTTTGGATTAAGTGGAGCCTCAGTCAATAATAAAGGGTGTTCTTCAGGCTTAACACGTAATTCATTGTAGAATGTGTGATGCCAGATTTTCTCCATATCCTCCCAATTCTTAACAATTCCACGCTCTATGGGATATTTTATTGATATCATTCCCCGTATAGTTTGAGCATCGGTGCCAATAAAATCGTCTTTCAACCAACGCGAAATAAACCTGACATCTTGGTGACGTCCAATAATAGAAGGGAAGACAGCACAAGGCGCCTCATCACCAGCAAAACCAGCCTTTAAATGTTTATAAAAGACTTTTAAAAAAGTTTGTACTTAATTTATAAGTCAATTGGCAGATAATACTCTTTAGGATATAGTCAAGATTCGATCTCGAAAATTACGAAATAGAGTGAAATTAAGAAAGGATGTCTTATTAAACCTGAGAAAAGACTTGGCAAGATGTACCTTTTTTTAGCTAATATGGCACACTGTAATCAGCTCAACGAGCACTTCGAATGATATTTAATTTGTTTATAAATTTCTGATTTTGGTTCACGTTAAGTAAAAGAGTACCGACAGATCTAGAAAATCCTTGGATATTCGGATCTGGAACCGTAATCTGAACAGAGGTTTTGGATATCCGTTTCAAAAAGAAATTATTATTAAGTGAAATTTTGTTGGTGACAAAGGGACTCTGGAACAATATTTGAGGAGTGTACACCACTGTAGAAAATCTTACCATTATGTACAATCTTAATGAAGGAAAAATAAGGGAAGAAATTGGAGGGGGGGGGGGAAGTCTAGCTTCACAATTACACCGGAAATAACATCAAAAGTCGAGATCAAAAGAAAAAACTCGAACATCGAAAATCGTATTTCGTAAGACTAATCACGACCTCTCAGACATAATCGAGTCATTTTATCAACCATATAAATAATAAATACATACTTTACACATTCCAGAACCATTGTCGATCACAAGAGCAACATTTTTATCGTCACTCATTATCTCTAGTAGTTACAGTCGAATCTTGATATAAGGAAGTTGAGAGGACCAGAGAAAAATTTTATAATTAAAAATTAATTAGATTAACTTTAAAAATAAAAGAGAAAATAAAAAAGTTTTTTTCTTCAATAAATTCTAAAAATTAAAGCAAATAATTAATTTGGTTAAGATTAACTTAAAGTTTTTTTTAATTTTTTCTTCCGAGAATCGGTATCAAAAATTCAAAATTAAAAATTGAATGAAAAAATAGAAAGGAGAGAGGAAATAATTTGGATTACTAAATAGTGCTTTAAATTAATATTCATTTAACCTTTTCTCAATATTCAAATTTACCTACTTCCCTAAAACCATTTTCTCATTTTTATCATTATGTTTTTATTGGTACTTCCTCCCATCATATTCAAAAATTTCTTTTAACCTAACCGCCTTTTTTCCTTTATTTTAAGATTTTTTCATTAATTGCATCTCTAAAATTGGAAGTTTTGACTTGTTTAGGTGCTCGGTTTTCTCGCTTATTTATTAAATAAGTTCGTAGAAAAAAGTTAAGTAGAAACTACTAATGGCGGACAACCTGTTGTTGCGTTTGTTGTTGTTGCTCGATTGAGAAGGCAAATATTTATGTTATCTGTCTATTGCAACACTTAAGCCTGCATGATTATTATTAGTGGATTTTTAAGAAATCCTTTAATGTCTTCAATTTTTTAAATTAATTTTTAAGAAATTAATCGGAAGCGGAGCTTGCACTAAGTCAACGAATTTGATAAAGCTAGACAACTCGAGGCTTGCACTTATAATATTTCTTATTTTTAAGTCTAAATATTTTTTAAATATTAAGGAAAGGGCATATATTGGCACAGACGATTGAGAAATTTGTTTTTATTTTAAAGTGCTTTTTACTCATTACAAAATTTTTCTTTATATAAATTTTAGTGTAAATAAATAACTTTAATTTACTTTTAAAATTTTAAAAACATTTAACTTTAAATTTCGCGATCTGTCGGTGTTAGGTCCGCCAATCTTTTTAATTTTCTAGTAAAAATAGGTTTATTTATAAAGGGTTATGGCTAGGTTCATCTTATGTAAAATATAAACCCCAAAAATAAACGTGGTTTTGAGGTATTTTTTTTATTAAAAATTATTTCAAAGACTGACGGGCCTATAAAAGTTTTTGTTGAATAATTATTTTCTAAAAAGTTCAAAATTAAAAATGAAAATTATTTTACTATTTTTCTTTTTAATTTCATTTCAATTAAAAATTGTCAAAGGAATGCAAAGTTTAAAACGAGGTTTATAATTCTCTAAATTTTTGAAATTATTATAGTCGAAGCTCAATATATGATAAACTTTTGATCTAAAATTTACTTTATTATTTTCTGTTATCTTAAATTGGAGGTATTGTTTAGATAACCCCGTTTATTAGCCAACCAAATCAAAACATATCTTAAATTGAGGTTTATCTAGTATTGGAAGCAGGGGCGAACGCCAGAGACAATCGAGAAAAGCTAAAATTTAATGCAAATAACCCAAGACGCAATGCGATCGCCCACTGATTGGGAGTATCCTATAATGAGATCTGGCAATAATTTTAAAAATTAAGGTCGTGAAGAAGGAAATTTTGAAGAAGGCTCTAGTTCAAAAAGAAATAAAGGGAAGAATAAAGTCGATAGTCCTTCAACGCCCAACATTCATCCTGATCAAGAATTTTCCTTAGTCGAAGTATCCCTTTTGGCTAGAATATTTGCTAATTTTAATAAGGAACTCTTTTTAAATTATTTTTATGAGGAAGATTTAGCTCAAATTATTAAAAAGTATGGAGATGAACTTTTTAGTAATTTATTAGAATTTGAAGATATTTTTGATATTGTTCCATTTAATGAAACATTGAAAAAATTGGGAGAGGTAAAAATTTAATAGTTAAACAGTTGGAAATATTTGGAAATATTAATTAAGTAGGCATTCTATTTAGGGGGGTCGGAACAGTCCGAGGTGCCGGAAATCTGAAGAGCCTGAATCGGAACTGGCGAATAAGTCGGAAATCGGAAATCAAAATTTTTTTCGGAAATCGGAAGGAAAAACGCCGGAAATCGGAAGTCGGAAATCGGAATTCCGACCCACCTCTACTACTTAGTAAAGCGCCGGATATTTGATATTGTTATAGCTCCACGCTCTGTTTGGAGCTACATATGATAATAATTTACTAATTTTTAATATATTTTTAATAGGTTGTTAACCATTATAAAAACATGGTGAGAGGAATAAAGTTAAAAGATTATAATGAATATGCAAATATTCAAACAAAAAGAAGTGTTATTATGAAAAGATTTGTGGAAATAGCTTATACAATGTCTCCAACTAATTTTAAAAAATTTTTTAAATATTTAACTCAAATTGATTTGTCGACAGTTGTTGAAGATAATATTTATGCAATTTTAACGAGAATTCATGCAGAATTAATGCAATTAAAGTAAATATTTGAAAGTTAATTTTAGTAGACTTTGCGGGAACAGGGAATCCTAAAAACTAAGACAGAACTGAGACTTGTGTGAAAATATCTTTTAAAGATTTTAGGATTAATCTCTTAAGAATTAGCTCTAAAAATCTTCAAAATTAAAAAAAGCATCAAAGAAAGAGTGATTAGTAACTCGTACCAAATTCATACTGGTACCTGGTATGAGTGGAAGTTCGAGGAAAAATCGGGGCAGTTCGAGGTAATATAAAATAAGAGTACTAGACAAAATTTTGGGCGAAACGAAGTCCGCAAAATTACGAAGCACTCTTTGTACAACCCGAACCCTGCGCAAATTAATTTATGGAATATCCAAACTAATTCTTTTGAAAAGCTGTGTAAATAAAAAAGGATTTTATTTAATGAGTAACCACAAATAATGATTTTTTTTGTTTTAAACAATAATGAAAAATTTTTTTTTCTAATTTAGCGAAACGCAAATAGGAGGAATTTATTACAATTGTCATTTTATAACAAATTCTGAACAAAATATTTTTATTTTATTTAATTTATATAAATTTATCCAAATGCTTATTCAATCATTTATTGATGAATATAATTTGAATATTAATTTTTATAATTATTTATTAAATAATTATTATGGACAAAATAATACGTAAATACATATTATTTAAATTATTGTAAAGCATATAGCTATTTAATTCCTAAGGCTGAGCAGTAGGCGGCGTGGTGTAATGGCTAACACATCAGTCCGGTCTACTGAAGATGCTGGTTCGCTCCCAGCCGCCGATTAACCTTTTGCACTAGCTAAAGAAAAAAATAGCTATAGCCCAGCTGCTTTACTTTATTATAATTATTTTTAAAGATTTGAAATATCAATTGAAAGTTATATAGAATCAATCAAAACAATTGAAATTAATGCTAAAATTTTTGAGAATTTAATTGAAAATTCGAGTATTTTAAATAATTTGGAGGTTTTAGAGTATTTTGGAAAATACTCTAAGGAAAATGATATGAACCCGATTTACTTGAAATTTATGTATTTGGCTTACCTGAAACAGGGTAAATTATTTCTAAATTAAATATAAAAAGGATTTGACAATTTGGTACTTTTCCGTTATGACGTAACACCCTAAATTAATGTTCAAAATGCCATATATAGTGTAGAAAAAGGTGCTGAGTCGAACGGTACCACTCGTTTTTCAAGGAGATGCCTGTGGACCGAGATATCGGGTTCGAAATGGTCAAAAACCATAGGGGGGAGTAAGCTTAATTTTGGGGCGAAAAATTCCATTTTTTGAATGATAGCTCTCTCGAAAGAGCTCCTCGAGCTGAGTCGAATGACACCAAAATCAGCTCGAAATCTTGATTTTGAGACTAGATGAACAAGCTCAAAATGGTCAACGTAAACCTATGGTGCGTAGGCGAGGCGCACTCCCCCTATGGTTTTTGACCATTTCGAGCCCTTTATCTCGGTCCACAGGCATCTCCATGAAAAAAAAGTGGTACCGTTCGACTCAGCACCTTTTTCTACCCTATACATGACATTTTGAACGTTAATTTAGGGGGTTACGTCATAACGGAAAAGTACCGACAATTTTATTATAATTTTATTCTCCTCGCCCAAATTTTTAAAAATATGTCTCCAATCTCCATTTCACGTCTCACTTTAGCACGTTCTTACAAACGTGGGATTAACGTAGCCCCGACGGTTCTTATCGAGATTCGACTTTATTCAATTCTCCATATATGTAATTTTTTATATAATATATAACAAACACTTAACTATTTTTTGCATTTTTAAGTTGATTTTGGGCAACAAGAAGGAGGACAATCATCGCATTTTGGAGGAGATGCTGGTTATATAGGAGAGCCCTAAGGAAGTGATATAATATTATTCTGCGAAGATAAATTGAGCTTTAAAAACAATTCTTTATTTGAAAAATTACTAGGGGATTTTCTATAAAATTAAGAAAAAATTTTCATTCATTGAATGGAATATTTAATATTCATAATTTAAATTTCTTCAATAAAGGCAATAATTTAAAATCTGTCAAATGAGTGATAAATTCATTAATTCTAAAAATTCGACATTAATTTATTAAAAATTTTGAACTAACCTTTCTTCAAAAATTGTTTTCGGAATTAAAAAAATTAAAAAATTAATAAAATTTTTTGGTTAAAAACACCTTCGATGTACAAACGACGGACCAAACTCGTCATACTCTTGCTTGCCCATACATCTGTAATTATAAGAAGAATATAAATTTTTTGAGTATATTTTAATAAAAAAAACATTTTTGGGAATGTAGAAAGTCCTGCAACAATGGACCCCCCAATCCAGGCAGAATATTTTCGTTCTGGTGGAGCTGTAATTTTAATTTTTGTTTCTGATGGCGCGAGGGCAGTGATTTCCTTTTGCATACGATCAGAAATCCCAGGATACATTGTTGAGCCGCCAGAGAGAACAATATTTGCAAATAATTCTAAAAAGTATTGAAAATTTTAAAAGTAAATTGGGTAATAAAAACAAAACTTTTCGAAATCTGATATAATTCTTTAAATCTTTTGGAAAGGGTTTGATATACTTTCCAAAATAAAAGGAAAGGTTATAAGCCTTACTTGAAGGTTATTTATCATTTAACCTTTATGGACGTCAGTGTCACATTTCATAATCGAATTGAAGCAAGTCTGATGAATGCCCTCCATTTTCATTCCAAGGAAAGAAGGCTTGAAAAGTAAAAAATTAAATCAACAATTATTTTCTCTAATTTCCCATTAATTGAACCGGTAAATTATAAACTATGTAAATAGGTATGTATAACTATGGATTATCTGATTAAACCAAAAATATTATGCACCTGAAAGAGCGCCTCTGGACATCGGAAACTCTCATTTCCAATAGTTAATAATTCGTTGTAATGCGATTTATATTTTTTCTCCAAAGACGAAGCTGCCTTTGTCATTTCCTTTTCAAAGTCCAATGCCACATAACAAAGTTTCTCTTTCATTTCCTCAACAGTTTTTCGATCAGAACTTGTACTAAGAGAATAACCACGCTCATTGAGCATCTAGATATTTGAACTTTTTGTAAGGTAATTTTATTTCTAATTTAGAAACTTTCATTAAATAATCAGTCAAATCATTGCCAGCAACGTCGAGACGAAGAATAGCATGAGGAAAAGCATAACCTTCGTAAACTGGAACAGCGTGGGTGACACCTTAGAAAATTTAAATATTTTTATTCTTTCAATTAAACATAGGGTAGCTCACCGTGCCTTCGAAATCTGAATTGTCATGGATCGGGGTTTGCCGGGGAGGGTATGTCGGGGTTCGGGGTCGGGGTTGACTTGTGGGTAGGGTTGACTTTTGGCCCTAATTAAACATTTGAATTCTCACCATGCCCTGAGTTAATAACAATGCCAGTATAACGACCTGACGCAAATAGGGAAAGTACCTCTTGAATTGCAATATACCTGGAAAATAAATTTTCTGGTTCAAAAAATGTTTCTGAAAGTATTTTATTATACATTGCTGGTGTTTTGAATGTCTTAAAATAATTTCAGCCATCTTTTCCCGATCGGCCTTTGGGGTATGTGGAGCCTCAGTCAACAATAAAAGATATTCTTCAGGCTTGACACGTAATTCATTGTAGAAGACATGATGCCAGATTCTCTCCATATCCTCCCAATTTGTAACAATTCCACGCTCTATGGGATTTGTGACAGATAAAATTCCTCGTATAGCTTGGGCATCGTTGCCGACATAATTGTCTTCCAATCGAAACGAATGCCAAAAGCCTGGGTGATGTGGACGTCCCACAATTGAGGGAAAGATAATACAAGGCTCCTTATGACCAGCAAAACCAGCCTTAAAATGTTTATAAACTTCAAACTTTTAATTCATTAGTTCGAAACCAATGTTTGAACTTGAAATAAGCATGTCCGAATTTCGGAGAACCCCCACTACATATTTGTTTGACAAAAATTTTCTGAAAAAGTTGAGCTTAAAAGTCTTTAAATCTCAAAAAACTACGATCGAGCTCTCGAATCAACAATCTCGAAAATGCTCATTTCATGATTTCTTTAAATGTTCAAAAATAGTTATAAAAAATATTTTTCTGAAACAAAATTATTAAAAAAGATAAAAATTAATCATTCTTTGGGGATGGGCTGACTTTTTTTTAAAAGCAAATAGAAAATAAACAAAAGTAGTAAGTAAAATTTGTAGAAATTTTATGAAATAAAAAAATTTTTAAAAGTAATTATTAATTTATGTATTAAGTTATAAACAAAATTAACTATGAATTAGTCTTTTGTGCATTTCTAATGAAAATATCTGATTAAATACACAATTCCTGCTTTGATCCTTTGGAGGGTTCGAACAATTTAGACAAATTTAAAAATAATAAATATATACATACTTTACAAACTCCAGAACCATTGTCGATTACAATAACATCAAATTCATGGTCACACATTATTTTTATTTACAGACGAATCTCGATATAACCAACTAGAAAGGACCAAAAAAATCGTTATATGGATGATTTGATAAATTGAAAGTCATTTTAGGGGGAAATCTTAGTCGGAGACCGGTAACGAGATTGGTTATTTCATTCATAAAAGGTTCATTACATTAAAGTGTAATAAAAATATGGAGGTTCGACTTAACAATCTTATAAGAAAATGGAAAATTGAAATTAAAAATTAAATAAAAATTGAAAATAAAAACGCGAAGAGAGGAATATTTTGAACAAACCCTGACTATTGTTAAAGCAAAAAATGAATTTTATTAAAAATAATGTAAGGTTTTTTTAATTATTATTCTGAGAATGGGGAGGGGCGGGTCTGAAAAAAAGAAAAGTTGAATGAAAAATAGAAAGGAGAGAAATTTATAATTTGGACTGATAAGTAATTAGTAGGGGAGAATCAAAAGAAAAATTTTTTAAATTGAAAATAAAGAAAAGCGTGTAAGTAGGCTAATGCTCCTAGCTTGTCGCCCCCATGTCCTCAAATGATTTTCTGCCGCGGAGGCATTATGTTAGGGTATGCTCCTTTGATCCTTCGATATCCGTCTAAATCCACCGTAACAAAAGAGCAATTAGTTTTAAAGTATTTGATCTTATAATTTTATCTAGTCCTTTACACATCAAATTTCAAAACCAAAGTATTTCAAAATTTTTTTTATCAAATCTATGAAATTATTTGCCCAAGGATTTGTGTTGAATGATCTTAGGCACCCTATTGGCTCTGAATCAGAAGAACATATCAATTTAACAATGCGTTAGCGAATATTTGATAAATTTTATCAAATTTAAGTAAATTTTGAATAGTTATACAAATTTTTAAAATCCTCAGTTATCGATCCTCGACCTCGGTCTTGGGTCCAAATTTGACACTCAACCTCGATCTCAACTTTTCAACCTCGGTGATCCTCGGACTCGGGTTTTCCGTAAAACCTCGCCTCGTGCAACTCTACTTTCTTGTAAATTCCTTCGCGTCTGTAGCTAATTTACTGATCAATTTTTTGTTATAAAATACTTTTACTCAAATTTGATTTTACATGAATTTAGACGAGTGGAGAGGCCGGAGGAGGAGATAAATTGGGGGGGGGGGGGGAATTTTGGGGCACTTTGACAAATTCCCAAAAGAATTAACTATAACTAAAGTTTTTGATGTTGATGAAAACGTTGAAGTATACAAAGAAGGCGTTTGAGTTAAGGCATTTCAAACATTTTTTCGTATAAATCTGGGTAAAAATGTAATTTTAATTTAATAGAATTTTATACAAATTAATTATTTAATGACACGAGTGGTGTGAAATCAGTCACATCAATAACAGTTTTAACTTGAAATTAATTAATTATCTTGTTTCCCCTCCTTCTAGTAATTATAGTTTTATTTGGTGAGATAATTTATCTTACAAAAAATCCACCTTTAAAATCCCCCTTAAACAATTTACCCTTAAACACATCACCCTCTTTTGAGAATACTCTAATGTAAAAAAATTATTCGAAGTAAATAATGTTAATATTGGGGTAGGGGATCATTGAGTCCCGCCGGTTGAGTCCCTGAGCCATATTTTGGGCCTTAACTTTTTAAGTTTTCAATGAATTAGAATAAATCTTTTATCATTCGAAAGCCCTGGATGTGAGGATTATTTTTGCCAAGTACATTGATTTGATTAGATCATCCTACTAAAAGTTACATCCAGTTAAGTGCGCGTAATCGTGATTTTTGACCTTTATTAGGATGTAACTTTTTGTATGTTGATCTGATCAGATCAATCCTGATAGATAAAATAATCCTTACATCAAGAGCTTTCGATTAAAATATTAATTAACTAAATCGATTAAGAATTGGAAAAGTTATGGTCCAAAATGTGGCTCCGGGACTCAACCGGCGGGACTCAATGATCCTGTTCCGTAATATTGTGATAAGAAATTTTGAATTTTATAATTTTTGTCTTGCTAAATGCCTAACGAGTAAATATGATGTGTTATCAAAATTTTTTATCATAGAAAAACAATGTTTATGTTGTGTATGGGCGTCAGCCCTTAAAGTGTTTAGTATAAAAGCCCAGCCAATAGTTAGTTCTCGGTCTCAGTTTTAGTTCTTCCTACCTACCTTCATCTGCTTTGTATTTCGTTGTGCGATAAACGTTTTTGTTAGCTCCTCTACGTAAGCGGGGTCATAACAAGTGGCGCGGTCGTGTTCAAAAAGAACCTGGTCTCGACAACAGTTCGTCAACTTCAGTGAGTGCTCGTCTACGTAAGCTGTGTGCAGTTCAAGGAAAGTAAAGTGTGGACAAATAGTGCAGTGTTGTAAAACCGAAAGGTTAGTGAATTGTAGTGTTTAGTATAAAAGTGTAGTGATAAAAAAGTATTTTAGTGAGTGAACATGGATGTCAAAGCAGTGGAGAAATTGCTGAAAGCTCAACAGGAGCAATTTGAGAAAATGTTAGTGAGGCTGCTTAAGCCGAGTGAACTGCACGACACCGAATTGTATAGCAAATTAGTGACAATGATTGGTGAGTTCATTTTTGATTTGTCGAGTGGTATGACCTTTGAGTCATGGTTAGGCAGGCATCGGTCCTATTTTGAGGAGGAGGGTAAAACCCTGCCAGAATCCTCTAAAGTGAGATTGTTATTGAGTAAATTGGGGCCAGAAGAGTATGCCCAGATTGAACGGAAGATGCTGCCAACCAAATTGAGTGAGATGAAGTTTGACGAACTCTGTAGTGAATTAGTGAAAGAGTTTAGCGACCATAGGTCCAAATTGTTGAAAAGGTTCGAGGCCTTAAATGTTAAGTGTAGTGACCTCCAAGATATTGTTGAGTTTGGGAATGTAGTGAATGCTCAATGTGAGCGTGCAGAAATGGCCTTGTCAATTGAAGAATTGAAAATTCTTATTTTTATTTCAGGGTTGCCTAGTGATGCTACCTCAGTGCGACAAGTTGCCATGAAGAGTGTTGAAAGTAAAAGTGAAAGAGGACAGGCAGTGACATTGAAGGAAATTATTGAAGAGTGTCGGGCACATATGGCCAATAAAAGTGAGGCACTGTACCTTGTCAAGGAGAAAATTAGTGAAGTGAAAAAAGAAGTGCCGGCCGTCAACACAGTGGAAAAAGTAAAGTATTGGGAAAATAGTGAAAATGAAAGTGAATGCAACCAAACGTCAAGTATCAGCAAAATGTCATTCAGAAAAAGTGTAGTAATTGCGGACGTTTTGGTCACTGGCGTATGCATTGTAAGTTTTTGAATGATAAACAGTTTCAGCCTAAAAGGCAGTGGAGTAATGATAACAATCATTCAGGTTCTCCATATTGTGCAATTTTGGATATCTTCGATCCAATGCAAAGTGTAGAAAAAGAAGAGTGGATTAAACAAAGAGTGAAGTTTGGAGAATTGAATATTGAAATGATTGTTGATACTGCATCGCAGATTAATGTTGTCACTAAAGAAGTGTGGAAAAGTATTGGACAGCCAACAATTGAAAAAGTGAATTACAGTGGTGTTGGGCTGGGTGACAACAAAGTTGAAATTGAAGGAAAATTCAGAAGCAAAGTGAGAGTGAAAGACAAAGACGTCTTTATGGAGTTCCATTTAGTGAATAGTGAAGTGTGTATCTTGGGATTGCCTGGATTGAAAGAAGTGTCAGGTCGGAACCAAAAGCCAAAGTACCAAAAGTGGAGTAAAAAGAAGGCACCATTCAAGATACAAAAGAATGCGTTCCCGAACGGGACAAAAGTGAAAGTGAAGAATACAAATAAACGAAGTGGAAAAATCGAGTGGCTCAATGGAGAAATATTGAGAAAGACGGAAAACGCTTGGAAAATCAAAGTGCCAGTGTTAAAGAGTATTGTGACCAGGTCGTTTAAAGAGATCCGTCGAGATGAGTGGAGTAATAAAAAGAAATTGTTGAGTGAAGATATTCGGAAAATGAATATTAGTGAAGAAAAAGTGTTGAGTGAAAGTAGTGTAACTTCTTCGAGTGCCTGCAGTTTGGACAACTCAAAGAAAAAGATGAAGAAAAAGATGTACTCCCATTCTCAAATTTTGAACAACGTTGGGAACCAGTCAAAGATGAAAGATGTTGAAGAGGATAAGCAAATGGAGATGTAGATGAGCCACATATATAAAATTTTGTGATAATATTATTGTTGTATTTTTTTGTAATGTTGTATGTATTTTTTGTTCCCATTGTCCTTATTCCCCCAAATGTGTGTATGTATTTTTGTTGTTTGTTTGTTTGGCTGGAAAGTGTTAGTATATTGTAAAGCTTCGGCTTTAAGTGAAGCCGAACCTTTTTTTCAAGGGGGGAGGTGTTGTGTATGGGCGTCAGCCCTTAAAGTTTTTAGTATAAAAGCCCAGCCAATAGTTAGTTCTCGGTCTCAGTTTTAGTTCTTCCTACCTACCTTCATCTGCTTTGTATTTCGTTGTGCGATAAACGTTTTTGTTAGCTCCTCTACGTAAGCGGGGTCATAACAGTTTATAGGGGTCGGTAAAATCGCATTCACAGGATACGTAACTTGTTTTATTGAACATTTGTACGGGACGGGATCCCGTACTCCCATTCTCAAATTTTGAACATTCTCCCGATCCAGCCCCCAAAATTACACTTAAAACAATTTATCAACCATTAAAATCTAAATACAGTTATCAATTGTAAATAGACACAATAAAAAAAGAAATGAGGTTTTAATATAATTCTTTTATCGAGATCTCCAAAAAATTAACGGAGTATAAAAAAACTTACAAATAAGGTATTAATTAACGCTATTTATTGTATACCCTCTCTTATAAATTCATTTGTGTCCGTATATAATTCATTGAACAATTTTTTGTTATAAATATTTGTACTCAAATTTGATTTTAGTACATGTACTTTAGCCGAGTGTGGAGACCAAGGAGGGGGGGGGTGACGGGGCGGGGGTGCCTTCTCTCTCTATAATGCCCAAATCCTGTCAATTTTTAGAAAGAGAGTACGTGGCAATTTTAAAAATTGTCCTTTTCACTTAAAAAATTTATTCATTATTGCTTTTAAATTTTTCATTTATTAATTTTTATAAAAATTTTTAAATATTTAATTTTAATAAAACAAACAATTATTCAAAACATAAAAGGAATTTTTAGTTAAAACATAAAAAATAATTTAAATTTTAGAAGTTAAGAAAAAATGAATTTGTTTTTATTAACTTTAATTTTTTCTTTTGAATTAATTCTTTTTGATTTGGCTAATGGAATGAATCCTGAAGGATGTTAGTAATTAGAGTTTAACTCTTGTTATGTATAATCCCACTTATTAACCGACCGATATTTGGACTATAACAGAATTAAGAATATATTGTTTAATGTTTTCCTAATTACCTAGCCATAGCCGGGTCGGCTTTGGGCCCCGATAATCACAAACAAGCCTCAAAGATTTATTTGCAAAAAGATTTATATGTATATTCGTTAAAAATTACAAACACTTTAACTAATTAATTCAAATTTTCTAAAAGTTTATTTCTTTAATAAATAAAAATTAAGCCGGAAGAAAACAAGGTTCTGGAAGCTCCAGTTCGAAGAAAAAGAAAGAAATGGAAGAAGATATTGTTTTTGGCAATGAAAGTCGCTTATACCCAGGGTTTGCATTAAATACTAAATATGTGGAAGACTTGGTCTTCAATAGTGCTTTTCGAGATTCTCGGTTAAAAAAATGAGAAATTTCTCGGGGTTTTGAGTGTCTCGATCTCGATATTTTAGTTTCGGAAATTGAAAAAAATTTACACTCCCTAATGATATTACGAGAACCTTCTATTCACCCATTCTCCCAGAAATTGTCCCAAACCCTCTCCCTGCTAAAAGAGGAAATTTCTTGTCTTAGGGATTGAAATTACTAAAAATTTCCTCCTTCGTTACTGAAATCTGACATTTTTTGCAACTTTAGCGCTTTAAGTTTAGAAAAATTCCACAAATTGAAAATTTAGTTAAGTAAAAATTTGCCCTGTGTAAAAAAGAAAATGTCTTATATAATTTTAAAAATCTTACATTTTTTAATCAAATGAAACAATTTTAATTAAAATTCTACACACAGAGAAGAATATAATGTTGGTGAAATTGTTGAGGTTAACATTGAAGGTGAATATCATCTTGCAGAATTAAAAAAAATAAATGATAAAAAGTTTACTGCAGTAATTAAAGGAGTTGGTGAACTGAACGGAAGGGAAGTAAAAAGAGGTACTGCTTATTTGCGTAAGGCTTTGGAAGTGGGTAATTTTGTTGGATTAAAGAACAAGCATAGTAGATCTGGTGAGGACGAAGTTCTTTTGTCAAAAGTCATAAAGATAAAGGAAAATGGAAAATACAAAATTCAAATCATTCAGAAACCACTTTTTGGGAAAAAATCTAACAGATTCCCAAAAGAATTAACTATAACTAAAGTTTTTGCTGTTGGTGAAGAGGTTGAAGTATACAAAGAAGGCGTTTGGGTTAAGGCAAAAGTTATAGAAGTCCCTGATAGAAACCGAGAGATATACCGTGTTGAATTTACAGAACAATCTGATCTTTATGGGGAACGAGCAGACATAGATGCTATTAACATGAGTAAAATTGAAGATGGAAGTCACATACAGCACTAGTAAATCAAAACAAAAAACGAGAAAAACCCCATTTAAACTTTCCTTTTGGTCTTTAAAACTAAAATTATTTTTAAAAATTTTTTTCTTTTTTAAATTGAAAATTTAAAAATACAGTGCAAAATAATGAAAACACTTTTTAAAAATAACAATAGGAAAAATCTACAAAAGTTGGAATAAATATTGGCTAGGGAAAAATAAAAAGGAACTGAGTCTATATTTCATTTCAGTGTTGGGATCCAGGGCTAAGAAAATCAACTAAAACAGGGTTTTAATTTTAAAAATATTTTCGAAAAGGATTGTTTAAACCCTTTATTTCGTGGTTATTCGAAAGCTTTTGAAATTTGTCATAAACAAACAAATTTTCACACTTTAGAAAAATTTCGCTTTCAAGATAAATAAACTGATATTTCAAATGTCCTTTAAAGGAGAGGAAAACCAGCACCCTTTAAGAAGCCCCCTTTTTATTTAAAAACACGACTGTTTAAAGGGCTTTCGAATAAGCACAAAATAAAAATTATTTTTTATTCTGATAGAGAATCTTTGAAGCTTCTTGGGGTGTTTCCATAATTTTGCACCTAAATGTATATTCAATTATTAAATTTCCAATTTATAGTTAAAATATTTCCTCCAAATCATTCCAAAATTGATTGAAAAACTGAAATATTTTAAAGGAAGTATTTTATGTAAATTTTGTTTGAACACAAAAATTATTTTGAAATCAAGTTAACTGTGGAGAGATTCTTACTTTTCGAGCACACAAATTTTGATAATTTTATGAATAATTGTGGAAAATATATTTCAAAATTCTAGGGACTCTCTATAATTCTGCAAAGAATTTCTTTTGTCGTCATAACGGAAAATAACCATATTTTCTCTCTAATATTTTTATAAAATCAACAAAATTTCTTTATTAATTAATTTTGTGTTCAAACAAAACAAAATTTTTTCAAACAAATCTTTTCTTTATTTAAAACAAGAATGTGCACAATTTTTTTGTTTACAATTCTCAAAACTTGATGAGTATTTAAAAAAATTATTTTTTAGAGCGCCAAATATTTTTTATTTTCATCAAATACTTTTCTGATTTTTAGTGGTTTGGAAAAGACAGGGAAACATTTTGGAACTCCCATAGGCCATCGGGCATACAAACAAACGAAGGAGGCCGGGCATTTAAAGAGAAATAATGCCTAAAAGTTTATCTAAAAATTAGTTTTGAGTTTTGTAAAATTTTTTTGTTGTGCACATTCTTTATATTTAAATTCTGTCAAAATTTGTTTTTTTTTTCATTTATTTTCTTTTACTACAGAAAAGCAACTAATTTCAAGTTAGTATTATGTTCATGCTGTCGAAAAATTCATTGGATGGGAGATTGAATAGAATTAATTATAGAGGATTGAGCCCAAACATAAGCACAACCGACTGTGCCCATCCAATCAAATAATGGGTTGGATTCAGGCAGTCATCTAACCCATGACTTTGTTTCTTTTCTACTTTTCACAAACAATTATTATTTTGCTAAGTTTATTTTAACCACATTTTTTAATTTTTCTATTAATTTATTTTTCATTTTCAAACATTTTTTCGTATAAATCTGGGTAAAAATGTAATTTTAATTTAATAGAATTTTATACAATTTAATGACACGAGTGGTGAGAAATCAGCCTCAGCAATAATAGTTTTAACTTATCGCCAAAATTTAGATTGGGTCCTTAAATCATATCTTTCTAAACCTCTTGTTAATCATTCACGACCCCATTCTTCATTAATAATACATATGACAAATTATTTGCAAAAGGATCAAAATTCCTTGATTTTCGTGAATCCTGGGATAAAAATTAAAAATACTATTATGTATGAAAAATCCTTTAGGGTGGTTTCCATGCTTTGATCCGAGACACTTCTGGCGTAGGGACTGGATCTTTCAGCAGAATTTATCCCCTGCTCATTCGCAGCCAATTTACCCAACTTTAACTTGTTTCAAATATAGCCACCGTACTCAACGGATTTGAATTCGATTCATTACTTTTTTTGTATTTTGTAGGAAATGGTTTGTGCTTAATACCCCAAAAGTTTTTTGTCTCTTTGTCAACTACTTGTTCAGGAATGGGAGAAAATCTTACTATGGTAGGTGCGAACTTTTTCCCTAAATTTTTCCTCACGCCATCGACTTTGTATTCTTGCAAAGAGTTGGTTCTTCAAAAATTCCTAATTATACATGTTTGTTCTTTGGTTAATTCTCTATCATTTAGGATTTATATGATCTCATTATCTTTGGAATAAAGCTATGGCATAAAAAGAGTATCTTAAACTTTAATGGTCACCCTATACATAATTGTCAAACACTTTTCCTCGTTTGCACTATATTTGTCTGTGGTAGATTCACATGAGAGACGATAAAGATGGAAAGGAGAATGCCGCAATACAATAATAATTTTAAGGGCGAGGAGTAACTCAAGGAATTCCAAAACATGGTCCAGATAAGTCACGGTCTCATCAAATCACGGACTGAACAAAATAACGACCATACAGAAACACGTTTTTACCAAAATAAGGACCGACCAAAACATGGTCAAGAGTAGGGTTGCCAAAATGGACTGACTCGGACCGAAAGATCGAGTCATGCCTCGATGTTTGGCCCGAAAAAGTCTCGTACCGGCCCGACTCGATAAAGTTGGGCCCGAAAAAGACTCGTAACGGCCCGACTCGATAAAGTTAGGCCCGAAAGTGACTCGTACCGGCCCGACTCGATAAAAACAGGCCCGAAAAAATTGTCTCGGAAAAAGTCGGCCCGACTCGAACAAGACTCGATAATATTTTTACCAGATTTGTGGACAAAAATGGGAGAAATCTGGCTCCTTGGCCTTCCAAAATTCGAAAAATTTTCGCCTGCGGCGCTGAAAAAGGAAGAAATTTGGTCTTTAGCCTTCCGAATATCTCAAAATTTTTGCCTGCGGCACTGAATGAAGGATTTTTAGCTCCATACTTTGCTTCACATCTCGAACTTACTGGCTTTAATCGATAAGCTGGATTACTGGGATTTATAGGATATATTCCGCGGGATCCCATCATCATTTAACTTTTGAAACTAAATCAGTTTTGAGAGTCCACAATTTTCCGCAGTCCGCAATTTTAACTTTAAGGGGGTCCAAAATTCTCAAAGTTTTCGCCTGCGGCGCTAAAAATAGAAGAAATCTGGTTTCCTGACTTTCCAGTAAGCCCTTATCTAAATACGAATAGTTCAATCATGGTACACTGGGATTTTATTAAGGGATTTGGTGATTAACGCACGATATCACTTAAATCTTGCGTTATCCTTCAAATCTCCGATATCCATTCAAATCTCTTCAATCCTTTTAAATCCCATTACAATATAGCACCTTAATTATCTGATATGCTCCGGTGTCGCACAAAAGGAAAAAAAGGAGGCGGATTTCCGACAAAATGCAAGAGCTAAACACGTATAAATTTCCCAATCTCGAAAAAGATTTTTATTTTTAAAATTTAAAGGTTTTTACAAATTAAAACTTTTTAAAAAGAAAATTTAAAAATAAATCTTTAGAGATTTTTAATTTTAATAAATAGTAATTAGACGACGTGTTGTAGAATTATGCATTCGACGTGATTGATTAATTATAGTCGACGTGTTAATTTTTAATAATTAAGAATGTACATAGGATACACAGGCATAGAGAATTTTAATTTAGAGAAAAACCCCATTTTAAGACTTGTTAATTTTTTTTAATGTTTATTTAATGTATTTACTAACACATTAATGCCGGAGAAACTTTTCTTTCTGCTCATTTGATTAAAAATCAAAGAACCAGTTAGCTGGTGTTTTATTTTTGCCTTATTCAACTAGTTTCATAATTTCAAAATTTTAAATACATTTACATATGTGTAAAATAACAAAAAAATATAAATTGAGAGAAAATCTTTCCCAAACAAAAAATTAAAATTTCAAAATATTTACCTAGATTAAAACAAAAATGAAAAAATCATTTTTGTTTTTATTCTTATTTTTTGTTATTTTCCAACAAGAATTGACTAACGGAGTAAAAAAAAGTAAAGGTTTGCATTTTGAAATAAAAATATTTAAAAATTAAAATTATTAATAACTTGAAGGTAAAGAAACGGATAATCGTCATTTGCGCACGCAAGGGCGGATCCACAAAAATCGACTAACCGAAGAAACACCTCATTCACAAAGCAACAACAGCAACAGCAACAACACCCCAAATCCGGAGTTGATAGTTGAAGGGTCTCTTTTAATTCGAATATTTTCTGAATTAGATATTGGGAATGTTATATATTCGAATACCGATATAACTGAATATATCAAAGGATATGGAAATCATATTATTTATTTTACATTTGGCATTTCAAATATTTTTGATAACAACCCATTTGATAAAACATTCAACAGATTAAAAGACGTAAAAAATTTTTTTTCATTTTTAGTTTTTAAATAATCTAGAAAAAACTCTCCAATCCGTGTTGACTTCTTAATGATTGAAAATTTGTAGAGGTTAATATATTTGTTAGGGCTATAAAATTCAGAAAAATAAGAATTCTAATATACATTTTAATTTATTTTGAGCACAACTTGGGGAAATATTAAAACACAGAACTGGAGCAGAACCCGACTATTTTTGCTAATATGCATCCTTTCTTTTGATTAATGGATATCTAGAGATTATTCCCGATTGTTTAGACCGAGATTCTTAACTAAAGTCCGGCCTCTAAATAAATTCGCAATTATTTTTAAGGTCATTGAGAACTATAAAAACAAAGTTGAACAAATAAATATATTAGGAAATGAAGAAAAAAGTTCTGACGAAAAGTGTAGGGAAATAATGTCCAGATTAAATGAATTGACTAACAAAGTTCATCCAAATTATGTCAAACATTTAATCTATTATTTAACTGGATTTTCTATGGAAACTGGAGTTCTAGATGATATGTTATATATTAGCGAAAAATTGACTGAACAAGAGTAAGATTTTTAAGAGAAAATATTTTTTAACATATCTTCATT